GGCAGGACGAGGGCTGAGGGACCCCTCACTCCTCCCTCCTTCTGCAGATGGGAAACTGAGTCACCCACGAAGGCTCCCAGGGTCTCTGCTAGGCCAAGCATGGCTCTGACCTGGAAATGGCCCAGGCCCTGGCGCCAGCCAAGGGGGCTGCTCTGTCTTTGAATTTACATTGAGGATGGCTCTTTCTCTTTTTCTTTCTTTTTTTTAAATTGCAGGCCCGGGAATTGAACCGAGGGCCTTTGCATACATCTCCAGCCCTTTGTTTAATTCGTTTTGACACAAGGTCTTGCTTGGTCTCTTAAATTGCCCAGGCTGGGTTTGAACTTGGGAGCCTCCTGTCTCAGCCTCCCAGAGTGCTGAGATGACAGAGGTGCATCACCATGCCTGGCCATCTTTGATGGCTTTCTCTTTTTGATGTGTGTGGTTCTGAGAATTGAACCTAGGCCTTTGTACATGCTAGGCAAGTGCTCTACCACTGAGTTATACCCCAATCCAAAGGGGCTCTTCTTTACTGGGGCCCAGGTTATGATACACAAGGCACACAGCAAGAAAGGAAGGAGCCCTCACCCAAGGGCTTGGGGGCACCAGCTGGATGTCCAGGACTGAGGACCGGCTATGCCTATGCCCTTGACAGAGAGAGAAGGGAGCTGTCACGCACTGGCTAAAGGGCCACAGCAGTTAAAGCAATAGGGCATGAACCAGGTGTGGTGATGCATGCCTGTAATCCAGCTCTTTAGGAGGCTGAGGCAGGAGGACTGCACATTTGAGCCCAGCCTGGACAACTCAGTGAGACCCTACCTGAAAATAAAAAAGAGTTGGGGAAGTAGTTCAATACAAAAGTCCCAGGTTTAATCCCTCGTACAGGATAAATAAATAAAAAAAGCACAGCCAGGAGCAGTGGCACGCGCCTTTAATCCCAGCACTTGGGAGGCTGAGGCAGGAGAATCATTGCAAGGTCGAGACCAGCCTGGGCTACAAAGTGAGCTCAAGGCCAGCCTGACTGCATAGCGATACCCTGTCTCAGAAAGACCAACAACAACAATAAGCACAGGATGGAGGCCTACAATTGGGTTCAAATCTTGGCTGTGGCCTTCGGGCGAAGCGTTGGCTTCTCAGAGCCTCCATATCCTCCTCTGAGGGGAAATCAGTCCCCACAGCAGCTTAGCAGCTTCGCTGTGAGCCTGTGACATCCACGAGGTTCTCGGAACGGTCCTCACCTGTTCAGGATCCACACCTCGTCGCTGCAGGCCAGGGCTGACCGCAGCTTGTCGGCCTCGTTGACCAGGCTGGCATTGAGGAACTGTGCCCAGGCGAAGTCCCACTCCGCCTCGCTGCCCTCAGCGATGGCGTTGCAGTAGACGGTGGAGCGCAGGTTGGGATGGATCCTGGCGTGGAGGGGGTTGGCAGGGCGTATGAGGCTAGGGGGGCTGCTGAGGGGCTTCCCCATCCCACCTGAGGGATGGCAGAGGACTGGAGGCATGGCACAGGAGGGCCACTCACGGGTTGTGCTGGGGGTTCGTCATCCACTGGTTGAAAAGCTGTGTGACCAGCTCCTTACATTCCTGGAGCCCGTTGGAGCAGGCGGTGCTGATGGCGTTCACCTCGTTGTACCTGCCCAGGGATGGGCAGTTAGCACCCCTGGCCCGACTCCCACCAGGTGCTCCGGGCCAGCCCCATCGAAGGCCTTGTGGCCCCCAGATCTTCTGAGGCTCCCCTACTTGTTTCATGTCTTGGCTCCCAAAGTAGCCTGGGCACCCAGAGGGGCTTGTGAAGGCTCCTGAGGAGCCCTCTGACCTCGAGCTGGCGGGGGAGCTGGAGGCGGCCCCCGGGCTGGGCCGGGAGCTGGCACGGAAGGCTTCAGAAGGAAACGGCAGGGGAGCTCCCGCTGCCCGCGTCACCCGTCACCTCCCCACCCACGCCACTCACTGCTCCGTCAGCGTCGGGGGCCGCTCGGTCCATTGCTTTGTGAGGTTTTGGAAGTAAAAGAAGAGCGGCTGCACCTGCTTCCTCAGGTAGGTCTGGGGAAAGAACAGGGCAGGGCAGGCGCTGGCCAGAGGGCAGAGGCCTATGTCCCAAGGGCCACACAGCTCTGGTTTTAGGTGACCGGCAGACACAGATCCCCCTCCTCCCCAGGCCTCAGTTCTAACCCCGCATCACCAGTTCTTGAAATGAAGCTTGACTTCCCCCTCACAACCCCAAGGCCTCTGTGCTGTACTACAGGGAAAGTAGAAAATGCAGAAAATTAAAAGCAGCCAGGAGCTGACCAAAATGATGACTTCCAATTACAATTTCTTTTTCTTTCCTGTACTGGGGATTGAACCCAGGGCCTTTCCACTGAGCTACATCCCCAGCCCTGATTGATTGACTGACTGATTGACTGACTGAGATAGGATCCTGCCGTGTACTTTAGACTGGCATTAAAATCACTATATAGTGCAGGATGGCTTTGAACTTACAGCGATCCTCCTGCCTCAGCCTCCCCAAGATTACAGGCATGCACCACCACATCTGGCTTTATATTTTCTTTTGAAACAGGATTTCACTATGTTGCTAAATGGGCTGGGCTAGGCTCAAACTGATAGTCTTCCTGCCTCAGCCTCCCAGAGTGTGAGGATCACAGGCATGTACCACCATGCCTAGCTATCCTTGCTTATTTCTGTATTTTCCTCTTTTTGACTTAGCATACCTACAGTTCTATACACTGATCTCTTTGCCCTTGACATGACTGGGTCATGTCAGCTTCACACCATGGCATTAAAATTCCTGAGGGCTGACTCGGTGCTGCAGGCTGACTCTGCACCCGCGCCGGGTGGGATCCACACCCAGAGGCTTTTGCCCCAAGGATCCCAAGGGAGAAGCCTGGGCACGGGCCAGCGGGGAAGCACCCAGGGAACGCGGCAGGCGTGGCGGAGCGGGAGAGTCTGCAGCTGGGAGTGCTGAAGGGGACTCGGGGTGGTGAGGCTCGGACCCAGAGGGGAAGGGCTGAGGCAGGGAGCAAACAGAGACACAGTCAAAGTCTGCAGAAGAGGCTACCCCACCTCAGGTCCCACCTCGCTCCTCACAGCAGGGACAGCACTTTGTGCCCTGGGGGAGACACTGGACCAAGGCGCTCAGGATGTGGGGGACCGGGCACTGCCAGAGGGGTGGCAACAAGGGTCAGCAGTGGGTGTTCCCAGACTAAATGCTGGGCCCTGGTTCCGTCCCCTCTCTGGCATCGCCAGTCTCACTGAGTAGAGACCCACTGTTCGGTCTGGAGGAATTGCAGCCTTTGGTTTTTGCAGCCTTTGGTTTGTGGTAGTACTGGGGACGGGCGCCAGGGCCTCTGCACTGAACTATCTCCTGGCCCTTTTGGATCTTTTGAGTGAAGGTCTCTCTAAGTCACTCAGTTGCCCAGGCTGGGTTCCAGCTTGCCATCCTCCCGCCTCAGCCTCCCACAACACCAGCCCTTTTCAGTCCTAGGAATGCCGACCGCTTCCCAATCTTGCACACCCTTTTTTTTTTTTTTTTTTGGTCTTTTTGAGACAGCGTCTTGCTGTGCAGTTCAGGCTGGCCTTGAGCTCACTTTGCAGCCCAGGCTGGCCTCGAACTTGCAATGATCCTCCTGCTTCAGCCTTCCTAGTGCTGGGATTACAGGCAGGTGCCACCACGCCGGCCAAAACTAAAACTTTGTCAAAACACATGTTCATGAATGGAAGCGCTGTAGTTTCTGTATTTCGGATCCCCTAGAGGTCCCTGTGCCTCTGGGTCCCTCCTATTTCTCACCGTTGCCAGGTCTGCTCACAGAAGAGACAAGGCCAGACAATCCTTCTATTCATTTCCTAACGGTGTGATTTCAGGCACTGCACTGAACTGGTTCTTTTTGGTTGGGTTTGGCTTTTCTAAGACTGGGGATGGAACCCACGAGCTTGCACATGTGAGGGGAGTGCTCTAACACGAAGCTAAATCCCCAATGCTTTTTATTATGGCTTTTCTAGCTCTCTCTCGCTCTCTCTCTCTCTTTCTCTCTCTCTCTCTTAAACTGTAAGACAGAACCTTGCTAAATCACTAAGTTGCCCAGGCTGGGATAGAACTGGCAATCCTCCTGCCTCAGCCTCCCAAGTAGCTGGGATGACAGGCCTGGGCTGCCTTGCCCAGGATGGATGGCTTCTTGACCCAGCCCTGCGCCCGAACCTTCATGGGGCCGTAGACCTCAGAGCGGTCGAACATCAGCTTGAAGTAGTTGAGGCTGCTCAGTGCTGTCTCCCAGGGCATGTACTCCGTCTCTCGGATCAGGAATTGGGTGTTGTCCAGAGCCAGCGTGACAGGCACCTTTCCAGCACTGGGGACAGTCAGAAGGTTCCAAGTCAGCCCCGCACAGATCCATGCCCCACCCCAGAGCCTCAGCCCAAGCCTCCAGGGGCACAGTTGAACCCTGGCTGCTGCCCCTCCCGGAGCCCAAGGTCCCCAGCCCCAACTGGGTTAGCTCAAGATCTGCCACGAGGGACAGAGGGACACAGATGCCAGGGGAGCCACCAACCAAGCCCTGCCCTAACTTCCACTAGTCACAGTCCCTTGCTTATTGCACCCATTTTACAAAGAAACAGAGGGGCAGAGAAGTGAACTGACTTGCTCATAGCCATACAGCTCACAGGAGACAGAGCTGAGGTTCAGAAGGAAAATAGGTCACTGTGCTCTTCATTGGCAGACCCCTTCTGCCCAGTGGGGGCCTCACAGCTTTCCAACCTCTCACCCTTAAGACCAGCATGCACATCTGGCCTACAGCTGTCCACATCTGGGGCTGATATTGCCCATGTCAAGGAGCTTAAGCCCTTGCCCTGACCAGAGGAAGTGCTCAGAAACAATCTGTCCAGCCGGCTCTGTCCCTCCTGCCCTGTCCAGCCCAGGTGTTCTGGGCACCAGCCTGGGGGCCTGGCACGGAGCTTCTGGAGTAGGGCGTGGGCAGGAGGGAGGGCAGGCCTGCATCTGGGGGTCGCATGGCCCCCAGATCCTGTGACCTCACACACAGCACCCCAACTCTGTGCCAGACCCCTCCTGGGGGAGGCGGGTGGGCGGCGAGGCTCCCTGCCGGGCACTCACCTGGCCAGGTTGAAGGCATCGTGGATGACTTGTGCCCGGTTGATGACAGGGATGGCCTGGAAGGGAACAGCCAGTGAGCGCGGGCAGAGCGAGCGCCCGGCCCTGTGGTCTGTGGCCCGTCCCGGGCCAGGGACGGGGCAGAGCAGCGACACCCACCGAGGGGTCCATCTCCAGCTGATCCTGGATCTTCCTCCAGTTGTCCTGGTCGTAGTTCACCTGGTAGTAGCCCGTCACGTTGATGTTCAGCAGGACCCATTGGTCGGGCGCTGCCGCCCTGAACCGCTCGTCCTGGGCTGCAGGGAGGGACAGGGCAGACAGGGGTGGCTGGGAGGAACACGGGGGGATCCAGAGCCTCCACTCATCTTCCTCAGCTCATCTCCTCCGGCTGGCTTCCCTGGCCGCTCCAGGAGCCTGAATTTCCCTTACTCCCAGCTACGGCGGGGGGAGGGGAAGTACTATTTGTGTAGTACTCAGCACAGCACTACAGTACTTTCTTTGTTCCCCTCCCAGTACTAGGGATTGAACCCAGGGCTGTGTACTGAGCTATATCCCCAGTCCTTTATTAGGACTTTTTCTTTTTAATTTTGAGACAGGGTCTCACTAAGTTGCTAAATTACCCAGGCTGGACACAAACTTGCCATCCTCCTGCCTCAGCCTCCTAGAGTGCTGGGATTCCACTTGTGCACTGGCTGGAATGCCATGGGCTCTTGTCTTCCTTCCCGTTACCTACAGCCTTGGACAAGGCTGAGAATGAACTGCCTGGACTTTCACTTCCTTGGAGACTGGCCAGCAAGGGCTGCCGAGACCGCGGGCGGACACAGGCCTAAGGGTTTTAGCTGACTTCTCTCCTTTAATCCTCTCACACCCCATGCAGTGGACACTGCTCTCAGCTGCACTTCGTGGTGAGGAGAGAGACCGGACATGGACAGTAACCTGCCCCAGGTCACACACATGGGCAGCAGCAGGGTGCACACAGGACGGAGGTTGGCTCTGGTCAGTGAATGACACAGTGAAGGAATGCCTAGGAAGGCCCGCTGCACCAGAACGTGGGCAGCAGTGGGGGATGGGCTGCATTACCTCTCTGGGCTCCGTTCAGCCAGTAGTCGCTCTGCTGTATGCCAGTTTTGATGGACGAGATGGGCACAATCCACTGGTAGCTGCAACCAGAGGACGAGGCCAGGGGTGAGGGACAGCAGCCCTCGGCCGCACTTGGTGAGAAGCAGCCCCGCCAAGCCTGCCGCCAAGCACCCCAACCCCTGGCGCTGGAGCAGAGCTGTCTGCACCCCCGGGACAGCCCCCCACGGTCCGGGCCCCCCACGCGGCCCAGCTCCTCCCTCCCTGGAACCTGTGCCTCAGTGGCCCCGTCTGCTCACTTGAACTGCGAGGGGCGGGTGACATTGGCCTGGGGGTCCAGGAGGAAGTGCTCCTGGGAGATTTCCCCTGTGCTGGTGTCTACGGTGATCACCGGAAAGCCCATCTGCAGGATCCAGCGGTCCATGATGGTGCTCACGTTGGCAGGAAGCCGGACTGCCGACTGCGCGTCCACAGCCTGCGGCGAGGAGAGAGAGGGCATCCGTGGCCAGAGCTGGGTGAGCTGGAGGAGTGACCAGCCTTGCTCACCCACACACCCAGGCCTATCCGAAGGGGACAGGCCCCGGAGGCCGCCCAACATGCACTTCGCAGTAGTGAGGCTTGAACCCAGGGCCTTCACACTGAGCTATCCCCAGCCCTTTGAGAATCGCTTTCTACCTTGACACAGGGTCATGTTAAATTACACACACCAGGCTTAAGCTTTTAGTCCTCTGGCCTCGGTCCCCTAGAGTGCTGGGATTATAGGCGGGCACCAGCACACCCAGCTGCCTCTCTTCCAAACAATAAAAAGGAAGAGCAGCAAGAAACAAGGAAAGCAGCTCTCCAAGTCACAAGCAGTGCTAGGCATAGTGCCACATGGCTATAATCCCAACACTCAGGAGGCTGAGGCAGGAGGATCACCACAGGTTCGAGGCCAGCCTGGGCTACAAAGTGAGTTCAAGGCCAGCCTGAACTACACAGTAAGACCCTGTCTCAAAAAAAAAAAACAAAAAACAAGTCACACTCTGGGGAGAGGGTCAGGGTGATGGGCGTGAAGAAGGCAGCCAGCCTGGAGGGGTTGGGCAGGGCATTGCGCCGGGATTCTGCCCGTCCTTCTCCATGTGGGCCGTGCCTTGCCTGTGCAGTCACAGCAGGCCACCAACAGCACCCCTGGGAGAGGGAGGAAGGGGCTGGACTAAGAGGTGGAGGAGGGCTCAGCCTGCCTTGCTGGTATCATCCTGTCCCCAGAGAGTGGGGTGGGGCAGGCAGACTGGCTGGGACTGAGGCCCACTTCCAGTGGGTTGCCACGGCAACTGGAGGGGCTGTGATTTGCCCTCAAAATGGCACAGTGGTGAGGGTCAGGTGACAGAAGAACAGGGTCTTGGGTTAGGGATGGAGTAATGGTGCAGCAAGACGTCAAAATCTGGGTGGGACGGTGGAGTTCTGGAGGCAGGTAGGAGCTTTGGGGAAGAGGCAGGCAGGGCAGGGACCCTGGAAAACACGGACCCAAGCCCTGGAGAGAGAGGGTGTGGCGGCAGCCTCAGCAAGCTTGCCCCGCCACAGGGGCTGCCAGGTGTGGAATGCAGGCGGGGCAGGAGCAGAGGGTCAGAGTGTGTGCCCAGAGTGCTGGGGTGTGCAGATTTGCACCCGGGAGGGCCTGCGGGCCCTGAGCACAGGGCAGTCACGGGTGTGGACTCGTTCAAAGCCAGCTCCAAAGTCCGCGAAGGAGGGCGGCTCAGGGCCCAGTCCCCACCATGGAGCCCTCGACAGCCCTGGTACAGGCTGCCACGCAGGGTGTGCTCCGCTAGTCTCTCCTGCCTGGCCCCCAGCCTGCTGCCAGCGACCCGCTTCCCAGATGAGCAGCTGGGGCTCAGGGCGAGCTGCCCAGGACCCTGTCCCCCACACGGGCCACCCACCTGCTGCAGGTGATTCCACAGGTCCCGGTAGTCTGTGTTCTGGTACTTAAAGGCTTGGAGATAGGACTGTGGAGACAGGCCGAGGTAAGCCCGGGCCCCAGGGCTGGGGCATGAGGCCAGGCAAGTGAGGGCACCCATCCCAGGCTCCCTTGAGGGCGCCACACTCACCGCCAGGCCCGTCTTGAACAGGTCCTCCGTCAGGAAGGTGGAGAGCATCCTGAGGACCGAGGCCCCCTGGGGAGGGGCAACAGGGGCTCAGCAGGCTGAGCCGGTCAGCATGAGTCCCTACAGGGTGGGCAAGCCCTGTGCTGGGGGCACAGAGGTGGGGCGTGTGTGACACCTTGCTGTAGGAGATGGTGTCGAAGACCTCACTGATCTGGGCGGAGGTGAGGATCTCGTCAGCGGGGCTGGTCAGCGGGTGGGAGGAGGCCAGCGCGTCCACGGCCATCACGCGGTGCACATCATTCGTCACGATGAGGTCCTTCTGCAAGTCCAGGGCGCCAGCCGTCAGGAGACTGGATGGGAGCATGGCACAGCTGACCCATGCCCGGCCCAGCCCCTGGGCACCTGCTCACCAGATTCCAGGTGGGCTCCGCGTAGTCGGCACCCAGGTACTCCACGTAGGAGGCGAAGCCCTCGTTCAGCCACAGGTCATTCCACCATTCCACCGTGACCAGGTTCCCGAACCACTGTGGGGGTGGGAGTCAGCCCTGCAGGCCTGCTGGCCTCTCTGTAACTGACCGATGCCAGGGACTTCCCAGGAGCCCTGCCAGGTGGCTCTCTCCTCCCTCCCGTGACTCAGTCCAGACCCCTAGTCCCTCCCACACCCTGGGACAGGGCTACCTGGTGGGCCAGCTCGTGAGAGATCACAGTGACCACCCGCTCCTTGTTGCCGATGGAGGAAGACTCTGGGTCGAAAAGCATCGCGCTCTCCCGGTACGTCACCAGCCCCCAGTTCTCCATGGCACCGGCGTTGAAGTCGGGCAGGCAGATCTGGTCTGGGGAGGCAGGACCACTGGTGGGTGGGTCGCAGTTGGGGCCCCACCTGCCACTGCCCACTCAAGGCCCTCCACTCACCAGATTTCTCCAGGGGGTAGGGCGTGTCATAATGCTGGCTGAAGAAGCTTAGGATGGGGCCTGTCACATTGAGTGCGTAATCACCGTGACCTGCGGTGATGGCACTGGGTCGGGCCCAGATCCGGATCTGTGAGGTGGGCGGCCGCACGTGAGGGTCAGGGCCCTCTTGGATCCTGGGGCAGCTGAGCTGAGTCCCAGGGCCCAGGGGGCTGTGAGGTCCTTGGTGGGCCATGGCTGGGGGACCAACCCTGTTCACCTGAGAGCCCTGGCTGAGAGAGGAGGCAGCTGGGAGACTCAGAGGCGCTCCGGGTCTAGGAGCAGCCACTGGGGGATAATACAGCCATGGCCACCATCTGTTTGCCACTCTGGGTCAGAAACTTCTTTTATGAAGAGCAATCATTATTCCCATGTTTAAGGTTCAGAGACTGAGGCGGGCGTGGTGGCACACGCCTGTAATCCCAGCACTCAGGAGGCTGAGGCAGGAGGATCATTGCGAGGTCGAGACCAACCTGGGCTACAAAGTGAGCTCAAGGCCAGCCTGAACTGCATAGCAAGACCTTGTCTCAAAAAGACAAAAAGAAACAAAACAAAACAAAAAAAGGTTCAGAGACTGAGGCTCAGAGAACTTGACACTTGTCTGGGAACACTCAGAGTAGGGACTCAGTGGCCTCATAATTCAAGAACTGGCTTAGGGATGAGGGTACAGGACTGTCCTACCAGCCGAGGCCAGGGCAGGGTAAGGACACATGTGCCCAACCTCATACCGAGACATTATCAGGTGACTGTGATTCCAAGGAGCTAAACTCGCAGATGATGTAGGCCAGCAGGTAGGTGGACATCCTGGGTGTGGTGCGGAACTCAGTGATGGTCCAGGTAGGGTCTTCTGGAAGTGGGACGCCAGGGCCTAGGCATGGGGTAGACAGTATAAGCGTGTGGGGATGCACCCTCTGTCTTGCCCCATACCCTGGGCCTACATCCCTGCCTCCTGGGCTGTGTGGCCTCAAGCCAGAGCCGCTCACCTTTGGGGAACATGTTAGACAGGGCTATGTGGTTACTCGGGTGGATGAGGGTGATGTTGAACGTGGCCTTCATGGCTGGCTCGTCAAAGCAGGGGAAGGACTTCCGGGCATCTGCAGGCTGCATCTGTGTTGTGGCCACCACTCTGCCAAAGCCAGGGTTTCAGAGGGTGTGCTGGGAGTGGGGCCGGGCCTCCGGGTGCCCTTGGATGTGCAGAGGAAGGGTGCACACAAAGCTGTCCAGCCCAGCCCCTGTCCTTCGCCTCCCCCGGGAGCCAGGGACTCTGGCCCGGTGGACTGGCTACAGGACTGTGCAGGCTCTGCCCCAGACCAGCTGGGAGGCCTGGGGCTCCAAGCCTCGGTTCTGTCTGTCTGAGGGATCCCTCCACCCCACCCCCCGATATCCCCCAAGATGGCGAGGAGGAGCCAGCCTTCCCTGTCTGTCATGAGGGTGGCCGTCCTACAGCAGCTGGGCACCAACAATGGGCTACTGAGGCTCCAGAGAGCTCGAAGACCTCAACCTCAACACCCCCACCAGCCCTGGACCAGGGGCAGCCTGGGTCGTGGGACTCACTTCAGCACGCCGTTATCCCGGTACTCGCTGCGGTATAAGCCCGCCAGGTCATCGGCCAGCTCCCCCTGGAACACACTCTCCATCTCGTACTGGCTGCCAACCGACAGGTAGTCCTGCAGGTGCACCACCAGATACTCCGTGCGCTCCACCAGCTCCGTCCTGTCGATGGCTGGGGGCTGGGAGCCGCTCACGCCCCGCAGGACCACCCAATGCCCGCCGGGTTGCTGGATTGTGTAGTTGAGCTTTTTGCTGTGGATGATGATGACGTTGGTGGCCTCCTGGCAGGTGAAGCGGACGGTGCTGTTGCCCCGGAAGATGTACAGGCCATGCTCATTGGGGGTGAAATATGGCCTCAGCGTCACCTGGTACGAACTGGGTACCAGAGACTTGGGCAGGCGGTACTGATTCCACAGCTGGCTTTGGTCCACAGTGGTGGCTGAGGAGGTAGTGGTTGTGGAGGTAGTGGCTGTGGAGGTGGCTCTGGAGGTAGCGGCTGGGGAGGCAGTAGAAGGCAGGGGGCCCGTGGCAGAGTTCTCTGCATTCCGGTTCTTCTCCTGGGCATACACCACAGACAGGGCGACGATGGTGCAGATGGCAGCCACACCCAGGAGGATGCCCAGGATGCCCAGGGACTTGGAAATGTAGAAGCCCTTGGCCATGGCGCAGGTGGGCAGGGAGCTGGGGTAGCTCGGCTCTGCAGAGGACAAAGCAGCCGAGGACCAGGCTTATATCCTGGAGGGAGGCGGAGCCCCACCACTCCTAGCTGGGCAAAAATTAACCAGGGATCAGACAGGCGAAGGTCACTGGGCTGGGCAGGGGTGCGCTCTGCCCCTGCTCCAAAAGGCAATCCAGGGACAGCGTGCAGGGCTCCCAGAACCGCTCTGCTCAGGGCCACCTGCTGGGAGCAAACACAGTCCAGTTACTGACTGCCCACTGAGGGTGTACCCGGGTGGCACCAATATGCCCCTGCCCAAGAGCAGAGGTGTTGGGAAGATCTGCAGCAGGACCGAGGTTGGAATCAGGAAAGGGTTCCTCAGAAGAGATAAGCAGAGTGTAGACAGCCAGGCTCCTGGGTCACCGTTTGGTTGGACCCTCAAAAGCGCAGCAGGGGCTCCTCCTACAAGGAGGTCCCAGCCTCCCCTGCAGCCCTCAGAGCAGGAGCTCTCCTGGCCGGCCAGGTTCCCACCCTTCCTCCAAGCCAGGCCCCCCCATGCCCTGCCCCAGCTCCCCAGTGGAGGGCCAGGAGCTAGTGTGCTCGGTTTTTAAAGGTAAGCACTGCCAGGTGTGGTGGTGATTGGTAGTTATCCTGGCACTCGGGAGGCTGAGGCAGCAGGATCATTGCGAGTTCAAGACCAGCCTGGGTTACAAGTGGGCTCAAGGCCAGGCTGAACTGCATAGTGAGACCCTGTCTCAAAAAGACAAAAAAAACTCCAAAAAGACAATAAATAAATAAATTAATGTAAGCAGGCTGGTAGAGACTTTGTTTCTTTCCAGCCCAACTTTGAGCAGGTAATTTTAGATTTATGGACCTTTCCTCCCATAAATAAATAACATATTTACCTCTCAGACTTTTTCAACAGATTTAATAAGACCCCACACAGTAGAACATAATGATCCTTCTTTTTCTTTTCTTTTTTTTCTTTTTTTTTTTTTTTTGTGGTACTGGAGATTAAATCCAGAGCTCTCACACTCCTGCCTTTCTATTTTGAGACAAGGTCTTATTAAGTCATTGAATTGATTACTGCTTTGCTACACCATGCCCCACTATTGTCTTCCTTCTCATCCCAAGCTCGAAACTACCTCTTTTCTATCCTGGCTGGAAATACAGATATTGCTTACCATACTCAATAAAATCCACCCTGACAAGCAAATGATGCTTTCACTGTCTTCCCACCACCAGCTCCATCTCCCATACACCTCCTGGTCCTTCACCTCCGTCCACACCCTACTCCCACCATGCCCTTTCTGTGGACCCTGCTGCACCCTCCCGGGCTTCTGCTTCTGCCAGGCTCCTCTACCTGTCAGAACATACCCTACCTTGCTTTATGCCACTACTTCAAGCCTTCCTTTTGTTCTGTGGAATCTGAGCAGACCTCCCTCAGGGACCTCCCAAGGTCAGGAGCATTCATCCTGCCTACTTCCCAGCCTCATCCCCTCCAGCTTCCCCTGTCACAGTTCTCTAGCTACTCTGGGGTTTGTTTTTTGTTTTGTTTTTTTCGAGGGGTACCGGGAATCAAACTCAGGACCTTGTGCTTGCCAGGCAGGCACTTGTGCCACTGAGCTACATCCCTGGCCCTTCTCTCTAGCTACTCTGGTCTTCACTCAGCCCCTCTATCACGGGGCCTTTGCCCATGCCGTTCCTACTGCCTGGATTGACTTTGCTTCCCTCTTGCCCTGGTTAATTCCTATTTCTCCATTAAGTCCTCCTTAGAGGGCCACTCTGACCTCCTTGGCCTTAAAGCAGGCAAGCCCTATTAGCTCCTTCAGCACCATAAGCTCTTCTGAAAGGCTTAACAGCACGGGTTTCCACTGGACCAGTGTGAGGATAACCCGAGTCGTGGACTTCAGGCCCTGTGAGGGTGGACTTCAGTGGTTTCTGCTATCAGCACTGGGTGGGAAGCCTGGCACGCAGTAGGAACACAGTGTGCATCCACGGAGTGGGGACGTGAATGCACAGATGGGGGGACAACTGAGTCAGCTGAGGACTGCTGCGCCCAGCCCTGCCGGGCACGAGTCCCCGGAGAACTGGCTGCCCCTTCCCTGAGCCTCCCTCCTGCCACAGCTGACGTGAGGGGCTCCTGTTAGGCCTGAGCACCTCAGGGCTCAGTGCCACCCGCAGCTGGGGGCCTCACACACCTGCCACCTCTGCCCCCCGCAGCCTGCAGGAAGTCGTGTCAAAAGTGTGATCCACGCAGGCCCCGTGCAAGAGGGAGACGCCCCCACCTCGCACCTGGCCGCCTGCAGAGGCCAGCATCTCTTTAGGGGAGTCCCAGGGCCCACTTCAAAGATCGAGGGTGTTCTATGTGCAGCGCCCAGCTTCAGAGGCCAGCCTGGGCCTTAGTGGGAGCCAACCTGAGCTTCCCCAGGCAGTAACCCACAGCCACCCCGTGAGGCCTTGTGGATGGCCGAGGGCACCAGCGGGAGCATGCTGACAGGGGAATGGTGGCCCCCAAGGGCGGTGTCAAGTGTGCGCCCAGTCCCCCTCCGCACAGCAGAATTTGCCAAGGGCAGGCATCAGCACGGCACCCCACGCTGGCACACACTAGCCAGGCAGCCCTGTACCTTCACCCTCTCTGTCCCTGCTGGGCCTGCAGCTCCCTCCCATCTGTGCAGCAGAAAATCCCACAGCCCACAGGGCCTAATCCCGTCTCCAAACAAAGGGAGGCCCCGCGGCCGGCCCACCATGGTCTCTTCCTGTTTGCTCTGGCTGAAGGCCACGGCCAGGCCGGCCGGGATCGTGCTGCTGGGAGAGGCCTCTGCGCTTCCACGCTGGTGCAAGGTGGGCTTCCCATGCCAGCCCTCACACCAGAGGTCCCATCGGGGCAGCCGGGACTCGGGTGCAGAGGGACAGGGGGTTCTGCGGCCCCCTCAGGAACACGATCAGGGCCTCCCACGCCCGCCCTTGCCGCTCCATGCCCCGACAGGCAGAGGTGGCCATGCTCCTGTCCTGTCACCCAACCCGATCCCTGAATCAGAGGGGCCTCCCTCCAGGAGTGGGCGTGACTTCCACTCAAGCCAGGTCCCCAGCTCCTCCCAGCCTTTGGAATGAGGCCTCAACTCTGGCTTGGGGCTCAAGACCTTCTACAAACTTGGTCCTCTGACCTCTCCTCTTTCCACTTCGAGCTGTGGCTCTAACTGCCAGCATTTGCCAAGATCCTCTGACATTTTTCTGAGCATCTGCTTTTCTTTTTCCCTCTGCCAGGAATGCCTTTCCTCTCTCTCCTGTCAAACTCCTAGTCATCCTTCAAAACCCAGCTCAAACATCACTGGCCTGTCACTTGTGGCATCCCCCCTCCCCTATCCTTGTGTTCAAAATTCTTCCACCAGATGGAGGCATGTGGAGGGCAGGCTCTGTGGCTCCGTACTCCTCCAGCATGCCTAGTGTAGGGCAAGAGCTCGGTAAGTGTTGGTGAAATGAAGGACTACATCGGTAATCCTTCCCACAGCCTCCACGTCTGATGTGATCCAGCCCACAGCCCCTCCCGATCATCCCTTACACTCAACCTACTGGCCTCTTCTGGTTGTGCTACCTGGGCAGCCCTCCCAGTGCCCCCAGGTTAGCCCCCCGTGGGGTGTCAGCCTCCAAGCCAGCCCAGCGCCTCAAGACTGCAGGGGGCAGCCTGTGTCTGGGGCCTTGGGGGCATCAGCAGGAAAAGATGGGGGTTGCGGGTGGATCCACGGCAGATGGACACCCCCATGCAGCACCTCCTTGGTCTGCAGCTGCCACAGAGCCCCACGGGACCCCCTGTGTGTCACTCCCTGAGCACTTTTCTTTAAAATGGTTTGCTTTGCTACTTAGCCTTCATTGCAACTATTGGTTGAAAAGCTGTTCATCCAGGTGGCCCCTACAATCATCTTGGACGGCTGCACCCCTTTGGGAACCACGGCTCCGTGATATCTGACTTGGGGGTGCCACCTCTGCAGGCAGCAGAATGCCAGCTTCCTCTCACTGCTCTTCTGCTGCTGGATGGAAGCTGGGACCCCAGCCTGCGCCATCAGAGTCACCTGTCCTCGGGTTTGTGAATTTCTGCTCTATCCGGTTCACTCCAGAAAACAAAGGTTCTTGTAAACAACAACACAAAATTAAAGTTGACAACAATTATGCTACAGAGCACACTCAAGCACGACCACATGTGTAGGTGTCACCCAGAAGCATCAGGCCTGTGATAACAATGCGTCCTACAATGCTTCCATCCAAGCGGGAAGACACCAGGGGGCTGGGAGGGATCATGGCTCGGCCGGGGTCCCCTTGCGGCTGGGGTCTGGCAACAACCTGTGGTGAGTGGGGTGGGGACGAGGCTGGCCTTGCACAGGGCACCCTCAGGCCTGGTTTCTCCTGGGCCTGGGACACCTCAGCTGCAGCTGTTCGTGTTGGGCCTGGGCCAGGCCCCAGGGTGCTTCCTCTGGGAGCCCCAGATACTGTCCCTTTGTGAGAACCTCACTGGCCCCCACGGGAAGCCGGCCTCTGTGGCCCAACTCAGAGCTCTCGGAAAGGGGGAGCAGGTGCCCCTGTGGGCTGCAGGAGGTACACAGGCCCTGGAGTGGCCAACTGGCTGCAGATCCTGCTGGCAAGGCCCATGGGTGTGACTGAGTAATCACCGTGTGCCCGACCAGGACCATCACTCTCCTTAGGCAGATGAGGAAGCAGAGGCACAGAGAGGTTACATGGCTTGTCCAAGGTCACACAGTGAGTTGGCCGCAGGTCCTATAGACTTAGCCACACATGCCTCCTACGAGCACCCTCTGGCACAGCCCCCACACTTTCCACAGTGGCAGTGCCCAAGCTCTACAGAGTGCAGCTGGAGAGTGTGAGACTGTGACCAGGAGCCGGGGGCAGATCTGGGAAATGGACTTCTTATCCCAAGGCATCACTGGGGCTACTCCCAGGCCCCGGCCTATGAAGCTCACCCGCGGCCTCAGTAGGGTGCCTGGTGACACCAGCCCTGAGCTCCGCTGGCAGCAGCTGCCAGCCAGCCTGCGTGGATGAGGGCAGCATCTATCCACCCATCTGCATGGAGTCTCAGACGCCCACCAGAGCCAAGAGCAGGACAGGCCCAGTTCCTATGGCTCCCACCACCTCCCCCACTACAGAGCCCTGCAGAAAACGCCGGAGCAGAGGCGCTGGAGGCCTGGGTGGATGGGTACAGATGGTACCCAGGTCTAGGCTTGCAGATTCCAGATGGGGAGGGGCAGTGCCCACCCCAGAAGGATCGGGGAGACCCCGGGCAGGGGCAGGGGTGCTGCAAGCCTACTGCCCATGCCTATGAAACGCACACCCTGCGGGTGGCTCACACTCAGGTCCAGGCTTGGACTCCGCGGTCCACTGGGAGTGTGCCCGGTACGATGGGGCCTAGGCTGTGCCAGGACCCCTGGAAGACAGGGAGCCACTCTCCCCTCCATCCACCTCACCCCGCTAGTGGGCGCCCCGGGCCCCTCCTCCTGCACACGGCCTCCCTCCTCCAGGCCCAGGGTCTGAGGGGCTGCCGGCGCCACTTCCCCTTTCCCAAAGGAGGCTCAGGGAGGCCCAGGCCAGTAGGAGCTGGGGAGTATGCGACCATCAGCCCTGAAGTCTGACTGTCACCACATCGGAGCCCTGACCACCCAGCCGCACGCCCTTGTCTGTGTGGCTGGGAGCTGGGGGTGGACATTCAAGTCACAAACCCCCAAGGCACAGCCCACCGCGCGCTCCCTGCAAGGCCAGGGCTTCAGAGGTGTCCTGGTTTAGCCAACCCGAGCTGATCCTTCCGGGAGAGCGCTCAAGCCCGGGCCACCGTCCCTAAACCTCAGTTCTGTCCACCAACGTGCACCGCGCGGGAGCCGGCGGCCCGGCCTGCAGACCCGGTACCCAGAGCAGGGCGCCCCTTCTCTCCACCGGGCCCGCACCCCGGCGCTGCTGCCCGTCGGGGGCCAGGCGGGGACCCCAGCGCCCGGGTTCGGGGCTGTGCCCGGTCCTCGCCCAGCGGTCGCCGGGTGCCCACCCTATAGGCCACCCCGCCCGCGATGGGAGCTCCCCCGAGCCGTCGAGGGGCCGCGGGGACCCTCGGCCAAGCGATCGCAGGGGCAGCTTGGCCAAAAGAATCCTTCGCTGCCCACCCTCAGATTACCCATCCGAGTCCGGGTCGACGGCAGGTGCCCGAATGCGCGCGCGGCGTCGCTGTCCCCGAGGCCTGCGCTGCGCCCCAACCGCCCGCACCGGCCCGGGGACCCCACTCGCCTGCGCTCTAGCCGCGTCCCGGGCCGCGCTCCGGGCCAGCAGCGTGGGCTCCGCCTCCCGCGCCCTCTTAAAGGGAAGAAACCCGACCCCACCGCCGCCCCCAGCGCCCGCCGCCGCCTCCGGGCGGGCGGGGCCGGGGCAGTCCCCCACGTCCTGCCCCTCCTGGGCCATGATCGCTCGCGGGGTCCCGACCTCCTGCTCGCCCCCGAGGGGGACCCCGGCGGGCACAGCCCCAGCGCCCGGCCCCTCACATCTGGACGGCAGCTGCCGCTGCGGGAGGGGCGCAGGGCCTCGCTCCCCCAGAAACAGAAAGCGCCGGTCCTCGGAGGTGGCTTCCAGACTGCTGAATCTCACGAGGTCGGCCTTTACCCTTCTGGGTACCCGGGAGCTCCCGCTTAAGAAGTGAGAGTGGCAGCAGGATCTAGCCAAAAGGGCCAGGCCAGAGCTGGGAGGATGCGGCTTCGCACCCTGATTCTGCTCTCAGGGCCTCCCTCCTCTTCCCTGGGCATCTTTTTATTGGGCAGTACCAGGTGATACTTGTATTTACGACCGCTGTAACAAATGAGCACAAATGCAAAACAGCGCAGCTCTATAATCTTACAGTTTTATAAAGCAGAAGTCCAATCGGGTCTCTCCAGACTAAAATCAAAGGTGTTGGCGGGGTGCCTTCCTCCCAGGCCTCTAGGGGAGCCACTACAGCTTCTGAGGCTCCTGCGTTCCTTGGCTGGCGGCCCCTTCTGCCTTCCAAGCCAGGAGTGGCCTGTCCGGTCTCCCTCCCATTCTGTCACTGCTGTCTGGCACGCAAGTGACTCTCTGGGGCAATCTTCCTATTTAAATCCACTGATGAGCAATTGCACTGGGATCTGTTTCCCGTCTGAGGTGGAGTACAACATATGCACAGATCATTCTGGGGAGGAAGACCAGAACGTCTTTAGGGAGGCTTGTGCTTGCCACAATATTCAAGATGACTTCTGGATTCTCAGAGTTAGAAGCAAGTACAGAGACTGTCCAACCTAATCATGTCCTCCTCGTCTGCTCCTGGGGCCGCTAGGATGCTTTAGGCCCTACCTGATATAGTCCAGGTTGGTTGCTCCCTGCTGCTTTTTTTTTTTTTTTTTTTTTCCCCACATAGGGGCTCACTGTGTAGTTGAGGCTGGCCTTGAACTCACTATGTAGCCCAGGCTAGCCCTCCAACTCATGGTGATCCTCCTGCCTCAGCCTCCCAGGTGCGGGGAGTTCGGTTGATTTTTGCCTGGCTGCTCTATTATCACACTGGGACTTGCGTCTCCTCTGCAGACTGCATATTGGGGCATTATACTTGCATAGCTCCACCCAGCTTCCCTTACTTTGCTGCTGATTTTTTTTTTCCTTTTTTTGTACCAGGAATCGCTCAGGACCTTGTGCTTATCAGGCAGGTCCTGTGCGGCTGAGCTATATCCCCAGCCCTTGCTGCTGTGACTTTAAAAACCAGGTCAAATATATTGCAATATAGAAGTGTATGCTAGGTAAGAGTAAGCAGGTGCTGAATGAGACCCTAGAGGTTCTTTTGGGTTTTCCCTCTCCCTCCTGCCCCCTCGCTCAGATCTGACCTCCTCTCTTCCACTGCCCGGAAGGAAGAAGAGGCTAAATCTGACAGGAGACGATTTTCTGCCCCACACCTCTACCTCCTCAGCACTGGGAAGATTTTGAGAGGAGAAAGCACATCCCAGCTTTCTTGAGGACAGTTTGAAGAAGGTCACTCTCAGGAATTTAGCCTGAAAAAATCAAATATTTATGTTCAGGGCTTTTCAATACAATATTAGTTATAATGCTGGGAAGTCAAAAATAGACTAAGTGGCCAGGCGTGGTGGCTCATGCCTATAATGCCAGCATTTGGGAGGCTGAGGCAGGAGGATCCCTGTGAGTTCAAGGCCAGCCTATCTACAAAGTGAGTTCAAAGCCAACCTGAACTGCACAGTGACACCCTGTCTCAGAAAAAGATTAAAAAAAAAAAAAAGACTAAGTGTTCGGCATTAGAGAATTGGTTAAATAAATTATAGTTCTCCCATATGATGAAATAATATACCACCAATAAAAATATTTCATGTTTTGGTGGCCATGGTGGTGTAGGCCTGTAATACAAGCCCTCGAGTATTAGGCAGGAGGATCAAATACTCCGGTATCGTCTGAGAGAGGAGGATCAAAGCAAGTTTGAGGCCAGCCTGACACTTTGTCTCTGTCTCAAAAAGCCAGGAAAAAAAGTTCATATTTTGTCTGGGGAGCAGCTCGGTGATGGAGCATGTGCTTAGCCTGTGCTAGGTCCTAGATTTGAGATATATATAAATAACTACTCAATAAAACAATAAAATTAGAATTTAAAAAAAAAAAACTCAGAGCGAGGAAGGCCTGAGTATTATAGAAAATCTGAAGCCTTAAAAGAAAAGATTAGTAAACTTGACTACATAAAGAATTAAAATTTCTCACTGGGCATGGTGGCACATGCCCATAACTCCAACTGCCCTGGAGGCTCAGGTGACTCAGATTCAAGGCCAGTCTGGACAACTTAGTTCAACCCTCTCTCAAAAACAAAAAATAAATGAATACATAAATAAATAAACTGTAAAAACCACCACAACCAAAGTCAGAAGAAAAAACTAATCTGGGGCAAAAGTACAACTTCTAACGGAGGCAAAGGGCTGATCTCTCTAATATATAAAGAATTTCTACAGATCATTAACAAATGAGCCAACAATGACCTGAATTGGCAAAAAAGGGCAAGGGATAAGAAGTTAATGGGGAAACAATTACTCTTGATAGAGTAGAGGAAAATTACAGCTACTAAAGATACTACTCTTATCAGATCACAAAGATGAAAAACATTTTGGCTGCCCACTACTTACTCAGAGGAAAACACAGCCCTCCTGCCACGGTGGTTGGTGTGTCAACGACTCAGCCTCAACTGTACAGTTGGGCAACATTTCTCCTGGGTGTAGACATAGCTCCTCCCCTTTGACTCAGCGGTTCTAGAAACTCAGTCCAGTGCTCATGCATAAGTGCATCAAGGAACACAGAAGGTGAAAACAACCTAACAGTCCCTCCTAGCGATGAGATAAATGAGCCACTATTGTTTGCCTGGCCAAGGCAATGTACCTAGCGACCAAAAAGGATGAGGATGCTCCTTATGGAAACAGTCCAGGATGCGTTAAGTTATAACAGCTGGCTGCCCAGCCAGTGTATTAACTGTACTTGAAAAGGGCAGGGGCACATTATTTGCTTTTATACCTATAATGACTAAAGATGCACTGTACAGGAGAAGCTGATAGCAGGAGTTATCTCTCTGGGGAAAAAGCAGAACAGGAACAAGGAGAGATTTTTGGTGTTTTTGGATGTTGGACCATGTGAATGTGCTATTTAAAATGTAAATACAGAGCCGGGCGTGGTGGCACACCCCTGTAATCCCAGCACTCGGGAGGCTGAGGCAGGAGGATCGTTGTGAGTTCGAGGCCAGCCTGGGCTAAAAAGTGAGCTCAAGGCCAGCCTGAACTGCACAGGGAGACCCTGTCTCAAAAAGACAAAAAAAAAAGTAAATACAATAAAATGTGAAAGTAAATGAAATGACCAAATAATTAATACATATATATTTAGTCTATTTGTTTGTTTGCAACAGGGTCTCAATATGTAGTGCAGGCTGGTCTTGAACTCATGGTTATCCTCCTGCGTCATCCTCCTGAGTGCTGGAATTATGGGCATGTGCCACCACACCTGGATGATTAGTATATTTTATAATATAAAAATTCAAGGCTTTTATACTTATGGATGTAATAATTTGATGTCTGGGGTTTGCTTTGACATAATCCAGGTGGGGCATGGCAGTGCACGTCTGTAATCCCAGCACTCGGGAGGCTGAAGCAGGAGGATCATTATGAGTTAGAGGCCAGCCTGGGCTACATAAGTGAATTCAAGGCCAGCCTAAACTGCATAGTGAGATCCTGTCTCAAAAAGACAAAACCAAACCAAACCAAAAAAAGCTGGGCGGGGTGGTTCATGCCTGTAGTCCCAGCACTCAGGAGGCTGAGGCAGGAGGATTGCTGTGAGTTTGATGCCAGCCTTGGCTGCAAAGTGAGTTCAAGGCCAGCCTGAAGTGCATAGTGGAACTCTGTCTCAAAAAGAAGAAAAAAGTCTAGATGGGATAGAGAAGTCAGGGAAGCTCAATATGCATGATTTAAAATTGGAGATATATGCTGGGCATGGTGGTACACACCTGTTATCCCAGCACTCGGGAGGCTGAGAAAGGAGGATCACTGAATAGGTTCAGTCCCCTGGAAGAAAAGAAAAAGAAGAAAGGAAAATTGCAACACATATAAAGAATCAAAGTTCAGTACCAATAATCTTCAAAAAAGTACTACAAGGTATTTTTTAAAAAATAAAAACAATGATTCAAAACTAGGCAAGGGGGTAGATTAAAAAATCACAGAAGAGGAAACTGAACAGGCCAGTTGACACGAGAAAAGATTTCAGGCTTAGCTGTATTCAGGAAACACAATTTCAAAACAATGAATTTTTGGGGCTGGGGATTTAGCTCAGCGGCAAAAGCGCCTGCCTGGCAAGCGCAAGGTCGTGAGTTCGGTTCCCGGTACCGGAGAAAAAAATAAAAGAAAAAAAATTAAAAAATAAAAAAAAACAATGAATTTTTGCCTGTGATTTTGGCAAAGGTTTAGACCAACTGATACTTAGAATTGGCCAGGGTGTGGGGAACATTTTCATACACTCCTGGGGGATTTGTGAATTGCTGTATTTGAGAAAATAAAATGGCAAGACCTACAGTATTAAAAACATAAATGCATATGCTCTTTGACCCAGTGACACTGTTTTGGAGAATTTATCTTAACCCAGAGAGAAGGAAGCCAATCCTTACGCAGAAGGAGGCTGACTGCTATATTCCTTGTTACAAGAGGAAAAGAACAAAGTATCCAGACAGCCACTGAGAGAGTAATGATCAAGTTAGTAATGATCTA